ACCATTCCTGAAGACTAGTTCTTAATGTGTGCTGAGCTATTGGCTTTTCATGGATGAAAAACTGGTAGTTCCGTCTGGTTATTCAGTTGAAATGCGATACAATAATTATATTCTATGTATTATAATCTATGTCTTCAAGGGCAGAATCATCGTCCACGGCTTCGAAGTTCTGACTTCTCGTGGATTCGATGGACTTCAGTACAAGCTGTAAAAGTCTCACTCTATGTCTCGCAGTCTGGACAGGGAACAAGCGACGAGAAAATCGTTAAGTTAACCAGGACCGCGTTCATACTTCGTTCTTTCGCCATTTCCCCACTATACAGCGCCCTACTAGCATTTTAGGCTAAGTAGGAAACCATCGTGCCAACTGCCTTTGAAGTTTACGAGGCTCCGGAAGGAATAGGAGGCTTGGTTGACTCGAGCAGGATCCGATCCGCAATAACCCAAGACCGCGACAGTGACGATTCATTTCTTTAGACCACTCCGCCTTGATAGTTTGTTTATTCTTTACATTACACTATTAGATACTATTTCTAATACTGTTGGTGTGAAGGAGAATAAGCTGAAACGGATGAAAATGCCATTTTTTTCTTGTTCCATAATTTTTTCCGCTTCTAGAGAGGGGTGTTTAGCTTTCTTGAAGCTCTTTTTTTCAAATACCTGGGTCAAGCTTTTAATTGAGAACACTTGCAGTTCTGTTCGCTGGGGATGATAGGGCGTGCGGGGGTGACTGGGTTTGGTGCGGCGCCGGCCCGTTCTGCACCATTCGTTGAAGCGGGCAAGCGGCAATAAATGTTGGTGGAAACAGTTGGAAACACACCTTCCTGACATGCCCCAAGGAAGATGACGTTAATCGCAATTGATGTACTCTTATGCTGGATTCATACTCTGCGATAGGAGACTCGGCGATTTAAGAGATCACCAAGTCTCGAATCGCCAGATCGCTTTATCTCCCTATCACGAAGTCCCTCCAATCGCCGTTTTTGATCTGTCGCCAAGTATGAACGCGGCCTGGTTAGCTTAACGATTTTCTCGTCGCTTGTTCACTATTCAGACTGTGAGACATATAGGGAGACTTTTACAGCATCTGCTGAAGGCCATAGCACTGGATCCGCGAGAAGCCAGAACTTCTGAGCCGTGGGCGTGGACGATGATTCTGCCCTTGAAGGCATAGATAATTATAGTATCGCATTTCAGCTGCATAACCAGATGGAACTACCAGTTTTTCATCCATGAAAAGCCAATAGCTCAGCACACATTAAGAACTAGTCTTCAGGAAAGGTGTATGGATCGCAAATGAATGAATATACATTCTGTATCCAGCAGATAGATCGGTCGTAATTGCGTACTTAGTGCAGCACATGGCAGCGGTCTTGGAAAAACTGGTGGTTTCTGCCCTCAAAAGATTTGAGTTTGCTTGTATTTGAAACCTAATGACGCTACTAACGACTCTTATGTCTGATTAAGTCGAGTACTCATAGGAAAGCGCAAAAATTCTCGAGGACGCCGCCGCCACACGCGCCACTTAGTCCGCATTTACGACCCCTTTCACCGTGGGATACAGAGTGAACGTGGGCACGCTCTGTGCAGTGCAGTTGAGCAATCTGCGCTTAGGATAGCAGATCGTGTCGGAATAGAAGGCAAACTGTAGGTGTCCTGTGTGAGAGTTTCAGCGCGTATACGCCTCTTATGCCCATCCCTCTCTCCCCTCCCCCTCCACATTCCGCGCCTTCCCAGTGGAAAGAGTCCCTTTTCTGGGTTACTCAATACGCGATCGCAAGAGTTGAACTACTTTTAGCGGCGAGGTGAGTAATTAAGGACGTTGAAGCATTCTTTTACAAGGGAACCCGCCCACATATTGGCTTCCCACCCAGAGGTGAACGACTGCATGTGTATCCTTGCGCAGCCCAAGTGTGTTAACATCTACCACTCCTTATTTTAACCCGATAACCCAGGTATTGTAGTGGTGGAAAGTGCGTTTTTTCGGAAGGCACGTGGCTATCGTCATTTTCCGTGTGCAGCTGACTGCTCGTGGGCCGCCGCCTGATTGTTCTCCGAAGGAAAACAGTGAAATGATTCCAAACAACTGAATCTTCACTTAGAAGAAGTCTAATGGAGGACGACAACACTTCGTGATGGCAGCGTAGAATGTGGGCGCGGAGTATGGGAGGTAGCCTGTGTTTTACGAGGACAGCTGATAGCTGTTACAAAGTAGTATCTATAAAAAACAGCTCAGCACACGGTACGCAG